CCACCTGCCGAACAGCTGATAGCCCCAGATGAGTGCAATCCACGTCGCGATGCATGGCGGTGTAAACCATCACTCGCCAAACACGCCCCAGTAGCTCCTCACTTCGTCTGGTGGCCGGCGGAAAGGCGTAAGCCTTTTGAACGAATGCCAGGACGCGCAACGCAATGCCATGCGACGCACACCTCATGATCCACAGTGTAAAGCAACGCAGTACAGGGATAACGAAGCAGCACAGGGCACACAATGGAGCACAGCGCAATGCAATGCAGCGCAGAGCAATGCAAAGTGACGCAACGCACGAAACAAACGCATGTCAATACATGACAAACAAAGCAACGTAATGCAACGTGAAGCAGTGCGGAGCACAGCTATGTAAATCAGCTGTCAACCATGCAAACTAACACAATGTATGACAACGCAATACAACGCAGCACAACGCACTGCAACTCAATGCAAAACAATACAAAACAACGAGCCGCCAACCTACGTCATAGTACGTGTGCCAGACCAGCACAATGCGATGCAAAGGAACGCACAGCAATACAACGCAATGCAGAGCCATGCGCAGTCGCACAGTTCATAGCAACACAACGCGAAGTGGAGCAACGCAACGCAATGCATCAAACAGCAAGACGGTGCAATCCAGAGCCCGCTCGTCTCAACGCAACGTGAAGACATGCTACGCAAGGCAGAACAACACAACGTAGGACAGAGCAACGCCAAACAACAAAAGGCAATGCCCAGCAGTGCAGAGCAACGCAGAGCATCGCAAAACAACGCAACTCAACACAAAGTCATCCGATCTCGAAATAGAGATCAAGCAACGCAAAGAGAGAGATAGAGAGAGAGAGAGCCGGAAAACGTCCTGGACGGACGGCCCTATGAAAGCCCGGCGGGGGCGCCGGAGCGCCAGAAGGCTCACCCGTTGTAGTTGCCAGAATGGAGGAAGCGACGCATATAGTCCAAGATGCCTTCTTCACGAGTCTTCCACCATAATAGGTTCTAGGCCAACACCCACCATTTGGAATCGTTGTCGGTGTCGGCCACGTCATGTGGATAAGATACAACGTCATCATGCCAAAGCTTCTGTTGCCAGCCACGTCGGCAAAAGGCTGGGCGTAGGTCGCGTGCACACGGGCCCCAGTTTGCACTCAGGCGTGTCCACCTGTCGTGATCGTGGTTGGCCACGCGTGCTGCGAACGCCCACTCTCGCTTGAAGTATACGTCGGTCCAATCGTCGACTCGTGCTCGTTCAGCGTGTGCCAAAGCGGTGGAGGTACTTCTCCGTACGAAATGAACCCAAAATTCAGATCTACCGTCGTTGTCTCCGTCGGTTACTGTGATCGGTGCTGGTGTCGGTGTCGGTGTTGGTGCTGGTGCTGCTGTCAGTGCTGGTGCTGTTGCCGGTGGGTGCTATTGTCGGTGTTGGCGCTGTTTTCGATTGGTGCTGGTGCTGGTGCTGGTGCTGGTGCTGGTGCTGGTGCTGGTGCTGGTGCTGGTGCTGGTGCTGGTGCTGGTGCTGTGTTCGGTGTTGGTGCTGGTGTTGTGGTCGGCGCTGGTGCTGGTGCTGTTGTCGTCGTCGTCGTCGGGTGCTGTTGTCGGTCCTGGAGTCGGTGCTGGATTCGGTGTCGTTGACGTCGACACGTGTACCGTTGCTGGCGTTGGGGCCGGCGCGTGCTGCCTGTCTGCTTGCTTCCAGCGTGTTCCGTCTTTTCGGCGTATTGATGATAAGTCGGATCATTTTCCGTTGTGTTCGCTGTAGCGTGAAGAGCACATCCTTGGTGACTGTCCACGAACAGCAACCGTACACAACGCATGGTGTGATCGCGCCACTGAAGAGTCGGAGTCTGCTGTGCAGTGGGAGCTTTTCGTTGGTAAGTTCGCACCGTAGTTGGTGAAACTTCGACCATCCCGCGGCAATTCTGTTTTTCAGCTCATGTCCTTGGAAGTCGTGGAACGATAACTTTCTGCCCAAGTATTTCGTACTCTGGTCGTTAGGTAAAATGCCTAAGCGTGCCCCCTCTAAGACGATGTGCGTGATTGTTCTGCCAGCCCTCCGGCTGACGTCGGTGAGAATATGGGTCTTGTCGGGATGAAGTGAGAGTCCACAGCAAGATGCTTTGCTCTTCAAGTCGCGCAACAAGCATGTAAGTTGGCGAAGGTTCGGAACGTACAGCAGAACGTCGCCTGCGAAGCGTAGGTTCGTGATGTTTGTTTCTTGAGCAAAGCCGAGCTTGATGCCAAACTTGTTGCGTTGCCAACCGGGCTTGACTTGTCGGAGGATATGCTCCAGCAGCGCATTGAACAGGAAGGAACTGAGCGCATCTCCCCTCTTCACACCCCGCTGTATGCTAAACCTTTGACTGGAGGCGTCAGCGCGGACACTGGCCGTCTGAGCGTTGCCCATGTGCTGAAGGAGGGTGGTGTACGCTTCGGGAATATGCTGCTGTCGGAGAGCGTCCCATAGATGCTTGTGGTCCACGCAGTCGAACGCCTTGTTGAAGTCGATTGCTGCCGCCCAGAAAGGTAACTGCCAACAGGGCGATTGCTCGTGCAACATTGCCGTCGTGAAGAGGTGATCGTCCGTGCTGAAGCCTCGCCGGAAACCGGCCTGGTCAGGGCTTTGCTGTGCGTCAAATGTGGCTTCTACTCGATTGCAGAGGAAGCGGGACATGAGTTTGTACAGCAGTGGGATGATGGCGATCGCTTTGTAGTTTTGCGGTAGCTTGCGGTCCCCAGATTTGCATATCACCGTTATCGTCGTTCTCTTCCATTGTGCGGGTGATGGGCGGTTTGGCTTGATAATGTCGTTGCAAAGCTGAAGTAAGTGCGATCCAATGGCGGTTCCCCCTGCTTCGAGAAGTTCGGCTGTGAGTCCTGCAGTGTCGCTGCACTTGCCGTTTTTCAGTTGCTGGATTGCACGTCGAAGCTCTTTTGGTGTGAATGGTGGTATGCTCGAGTTAGTTGCCGTGTCGGTGTTGCTAGAAACGTCGCTGTCGTCCTGCGGTGCTTTATAGAGTTGCTCGTAAAAGGTGGCGAAGACGTCTGCGATGTTATGTCTGCCAGTTGTTTCGTCGCCATTTGTGGTCGTCATTGACGCGATCATGAGCTTTTCCTTGGACGTTTTCGTGCCCGCGATTATCTTAAGTTTTTGAACTGGCACACGATGGTTTCAATCCTGGCGTTTTCCTGGACGCGCTTGATGGTTCGAAGCTGATTCAAAATTAGTTTGTTCAGTGTTTTCCTGGTGGTTGTGTCGGTGTGCGGTGTACTGCGCCGTCGGTCAATGAGGTCGCGCAACTTATTGTTTGATGTGATGTCGTCTTCGTGTGCTTGGTGTCGCGGTGAACTGTCGTGGTACTCTTGGACGTCGCCGTGCGCTTGGACAAGGGCTTTGGTGATGTGATTGCTCCTGTCGTCAGTGCTGGCTGCGACGTCGTGGGCGTCGAGTCTGTACTGTAGGTAATGGCACAGTGAATCGGCAACAGGTGGGCGCGCAAGCCGATGATTGGATCGTGTTGTTCGCTTCTTCCGCTTCTTCTCCGCCGTGGCGTCGCAAACAAGTTTCATACATACCGTTTGGTGGTCGGACCCGAGGTCTGGGATAGCTGTTGCAAACGAGTCATGCACCTGGTTGCGACGGTTTTTGTCGATGAGAATGTAGTCGATCTGTGCTTGGATATGGTTTTCCCCATTGCTGGTATAAGTGAAGACGTTGCGATCATGACTGTCGAACAACATTTTGGTGATAAGCATTTCCTGTGAAGTTGCCCGTGCTCGTAGCCACGTCCCACGTTTGTTGCACGCTCCGATTCCGTGTGGGCCAACTGTGAGTCTCCGGCCTCTGTTAGCATTTGTCTTCCTCGTCCGCATTGATGGGATGTTTGCCAACCTGTGCGTTGAAGTCTCAAGTAATGATTGTGGTGCGCTTCTGCTTGGCGGCTTCATCGTGGAGCGCGGTCAGGACGTCGTACATCTGCTGGACGTGAGCGTCGGGGTACCCGCAGTGTGGGAAATAAGCCGTCGCAACTCTCACCTTGCAGGCGGATGTGTCGAGGTCGATGTAGGCGATGCGCTCGTAGATGCGTGTGGGGTATTTGATGCTGTGCACGTGCCGTCGGTGAATAAGAAATGCTACGCCTCTTGATGTGGTGGTGTGGCCCGCTGCCGCAAATACATGGGAACCCAACTTCGTTGTCCACATCTCTCGTTCTGTCGTCCTCCAAGTTTCATTTGTTGCCACGATGTCCCATGCAACGGTCTCCAATTCGCAAATAAGCGTGTCGATGGAGTCGTCTGTGGAGAGGCTTCTCGCGTTTTTGTGGATGACGGTAAACTGGAAGCGACTGGAGTCGGCGCATTGGTTCCCGAGATCTTGTCGAAGCTGCCTTTGCTCTTCTCGCACTGCCGGTCCGGCAGAAGAGCTGGAGTCGGAACCTGTGCTGGGATGTAGGGTAGGGCTGTAATCGGTGAGGAGTGGAAGCTGAAGCTCGGAATGTGGAGGTTCGGAGTTTGGAGGCTCGGAATGGGGAGGTGGCGGGTGGGAAGGTGGTGGGGAGTCGAATGCTGGAGGCTGTGGGCCAATGTGTAAGAGAGCTGGGGTCGAAGGATCTGTTGCTGAGGCTCCCCCTGTGGAGCCTACCAACCTGAAGCTGGTGTCGTGCATCGCCGGCGCAAGATGCATGCTGCGACGTCGCCAAAAACGTCGCTGTAGGCACGTCTTCCTCCCCCCCTTCCTCTTCCTCTTTCCCCACACAATGACTAGCTACGTAGCCCCAAAAAACAATGACTAGCAATGTAGCGCAAAAAACAATGTGACTCAAAGCAAAACAAAGCAAAGCAAAGCAAAGCAAAGCAAAGCAGCCCAGTGAGCCCCGACAAATACCAAAGAACCTCGTATGGACCCCGAGATACACTGGAGGACCCCTCGGGGACCCCGCGGCAACGAAGCCTAACTGGGGAAAACGAGCTGCTCTTCCGGCGCAATTCAATCACGCCGACAGGCAATTGCTTTTAGCAGTGAGTATAAGCAAGCTCGCAGCGGAACAAGGATGGGTTGCCTTGCATTGTTGACGTGTACAAAGACTCACAGCCCCTTTCACCCCTTCGGGCCCTCCATCGCTCAAGAAAGGATCCCTGACCAGCTCCAAGGCGTTTCCTGAAGACCTACCCAAGACTGGGCAAAGTGGCGTTACCAACGCCTCGGGATCCTCCAGGTGGCCCTACCATCTCCGAACGATGGCAGAACCTGCCACGAGGCATCACGGCTCCCTAAGACGGGCCGACGACCCTGGGTAAGTCCCTACGAGCCCCCAAGGGACCCCCCAAGCGTGTTCGAAGAGCTCTTCAGCAAGCCCATGAGAAGCCAAACAAATAAGAACTCGCATGCCTTTCAATGTGCTTTCGCATTGCATTCTGAAACAACTTAACAGACCCACCTGTGGGCATCTACGAGCTTCAACAGGGCACCCTTAGACGCCCCCGATCTGGCCCAAAATCAGCCACCGTGCCCCCTGGCACGTTGAGGCGTGGTAGAATCAAGGAGACGTAAGACTCAGATACGGGGGATTCGGGTTGGCCTGACGGGGCCATCATCAGAGCGAGGGGGCCGAACGGTCATTCATCGTTCCTGGGTGCGTGACTTAAGTGCGGATCCATGGTGAAGATTATGTTTGTTGCGTTGTTGTTGATGTTGCTGCTGCTGTTATTATTGATGATGTTGTTGTTGATGATAATGATGGTGTTGGTGTTGGTGTTGTTGTTGTGGTTGTGGTTGTGGTTGTGGTTGTGGTTGTGGTTGTGGTTGTGGTTGTTGTTGTTGTTGTTGTTGGTGGTGTTGTTGTTGTTGTTGTTGTTGTTGTTATTGTTGTCGTCGTCCCCCCCGCGACCCGGCCCGCGACCCACCCGCGACCCACCCCGCGACCCACCCGCGACCCACCCCGCGACCCGCTCGCGACCCACCCGCGACCTGGCCCGCGACCCACCCGCAACCCACCGTCGACCCACCCGCGACCCACCTTCGACCCAACCCGCGACCCACCTACATTGTTTCTAGAAAATGTCGGCACCTGCGGCGGGCTCGTTGTATAGCTTGAAATGTGTGCGCCTGCGGCGGGCTTCTTCAGAGCCTCGCAGACTGCAGACGTCCCCGCCGCCCCCTCACTCTTATCCGCAACTGCGGGGTGCTACGTAAAAGCGACGAAACCCAATATGAAATTTCACGCGAGCTCCCGCTGCAAACATCGAACGAAGACTGGACCGTAAAAATCCAGGACGCGCTCGTCAAAAAACGTCGGCAAACCTGAGTTTCGACTTATTCAAGTCTTACGTTTCCCCGATAAAATACGCAGAAGGCATCTATATACTACCACCGTGGGTGGCCAGGCCCAACCTGGACCCTGGCATGGTGTATACGCCCTCCTGACCGATGCCAGGAGGGCGTATACACCATAGTGGGGCCCAGGATGGCCCTGGCCAGGCACGGTGGTGGTACATAGATGCCGAGTGCCTGCGGATAGAATGCCAAGTGCTGCCGGACAAGATTTCTGTAATCTTATGAGGGCACCCGCCCCCCCGATGCTCCCGAGGCAGCCCGACGCCTCCAGGGCGCAATCCGAAACGTCCAAGATGCCCCAGATGGCTTTCAAGACGCCCCGGGCAAGCCGCCAAGGCCGCCAAGGTGGCTCGAGATGCCTCCAAGACAATCTACTGTGGCCTCAGGATGCCCTCCAAACGGCCCAATGTGCTGACAAGACTTCCGTGAGCTCAAGGCGGCCCAAGAAGCTTCCAAGATGGCCTCAAGACGACCCACAAGGACCTCAAGAGAGCAACAAGAGGCCCAAGAGGGTTCCTTGATGGCCCAAGAGCGGTCCAAGATGACCGCCAAGTCGGCCCAAGGGGGCCCTCATACGGGCCTCAAGATCCTCAAGAGGGCCCAAGGACGACTCAGAAACACCCAGATGGCCCAAGAGCAGTCTCAGACGGCCCAAGAAGGTTCCGAGAGCCTCCGAGAAGCCCCCCAGACGCTGCCAAGAGGCCCCAAGAGGCCCCAAACAGGCACCCAACAGGCCCCCAGGGCCTTCAAGAGGCCCGAGGTGTCAGACGTGGCGGCCTTCATTGCCCCCTCGAATAGCCGACGCCTTGAATGCTGCGCTGGCACGGTGGCGGGACCCGCACGCAGCTGATTATGCCAAGATTCTCAAGACAGGCCCAAGATGGCGCAGACAGCAAAATGGCAGCCAGGCACGGCGCAAAAATCCCCTAAAGGTCCCCACGACACCCCCGAGAAAGTCCCAGCCAAGACCGGGCTAACGGCGATGTTGCATAACGGTGATGTTGGGAATCAAATTGCAGGAAATCGCGAACCACACTTGCCTACATTTCCAAGGTACGGCAGGTTCGCGTCGTGATGACGTCGGCGTTTGTCTCTGACACCCTTCGGTGGCAACTCATGGGAGCCTTCCATGCCATTTCGTCGGCTCGTGCGAATCGATACAAATCGACGCTAGTCGACGCTAAAGCGACGCTAAATCTACGCTAGCCGACGAGACATCGGCGCTGTCTCATCGACTCCCAGGCGCTAATCGACGCGAATCGGCGCTAAAGACGGAAGCAAAAGGGTACACCAGGCCAGGCCCCCATGATTTGCTACAGAAGCCACCCCGTGGAGGATCGCTCGACCTCGAACGATCACGGCACATCTCAGCTTTCCGACAGGGCTGAACCTAAACGATATGATGCGTTTTCGTGTTGTTTTCGTTTTCCCGTGTTTTGCATTCAATCCGGCTTTAACGCAAAACGAAATCGAAACGAAAACGGCCCACGAAATCGCCAGAACACCGTTTCGGTCCACCCCTGCTTTCCGATAGAGCGAATCCTTCGCCGTCTCCCGACAGGAGTGGACCTGAACGGTGCTTTGGCGATTTCGTGGGCCGTGTTCGTCTCGATGTCGTCTTGCAGCACAGGCGAATGCAAGACAAAACGAGGAAAAGCGAAAGCAGAACGAAAACTAAAAACACTGTCTAGGTCCAGCCCTGTCGCCCGATGTTGGAGGCCTGGAAATTGACACCAACACCAGCCCAGGGGGTTGCCTCCACAGGGGGACGATGATCCTAGATTTCGGTGCTGGTGGCAATGTTTCGGCCACCCTGGAAGCCAGAACATTACCACCATCACCGAGATCGGGATCGGTTTCCCTCAGTGGAGGCACACCGCCGATCTTGGTGTTGGTGACAACCTCTCTAACCAGCCTCGAACGTATCCCTATCCCTAAGATGGGCGAGCAAAAAGCGAGGGCGATCCCAGGGATAGGCCCTCAGAAGCTGAGGGAATCCTTAAGATCGGCATCGAGGTGAGGTGATGGCAAACATAGGGATAGGGATATGTTCCAGGCTGGTCTTCGGCTGCACGTAAGAGTGACCCTGGGCAAGAGTGACCTTTGGTGCGCGGCTTTTTGGGGGGCGCGAGGAGGCCAAACACAAGCGCGCAGGACGCTACTATCGGATTACTATCGCAACGAGCGCGGCGATCGGGGGACCCCAATGAGCGCGCACCAAAGGTCACTCCGGCGAAGGGTCACTCTTACGTGTAGTCGATAACTCTGGGCCTGTCGCCCGATGGTGGGCCACCCGGCGGCGCTCCACCCTGAACGCCCGCCACGGGGGCCACCGCCGCAGCGGCGCGGCGCGTAGCCTGCCGTGCGGAGCCGCGGCGCGGCCTCCCCGTGGCGCGGAGCCGAAGCTCCGCGGCAGCGCGACAGGATGGATGATGGGACGGTTGCCCACCGCCACCACCACAGGCAGGAGAAGAGGAGGAGGGGGAGGAGGGGGAGGAGGAGGAGGAAGAGGAGGAGGAGGGGGGGAGGAGAGGAGGAGGAGGGGAGGAGAGGAGGAGGTAGGAGGAGGAGGAGGAGGAGGAGGAGGAACAGGAGGAGGGAGGAGGAGGAGGAGGAGGAGGAGGAGGAGGAGGAGGAGGAGGAGGAGGAGGAGGAGGAGGAGGAGGAGGAGGAGGAGGAGGAGGGAGGAGGAGGAGGAGGAGGAGGAGGAGGAGGAGGAGGAGGAGGAGGAGGGAGGGAGGGAGGAGGGAGGAGGGAGGAGGAGGAGGAGGAGGAGGAGGGGAGGAGGAGGAGGAGGAGGAGGAGGGAGGAGGAGGAGGAGGAGGAGGAGAGGAGGAGGGAGGAGGAGGAGAGGAGGGGAGGGGGAGGGGGAGGGGGAACAGGAGGGGAACAGGAAGAGGAACAGGACGAGGAACAGGAGGAGGAAAAGGAGGAGGAGGAGGAAGAGGAGGAACAGGAGGAGGAACAGGAGGAGCAGGAGGAACAGGAGGAGGAGGACCTCCCCGTCCCCATCCTACCTATGGCCGTGGCGGTGGAACATTGGCCCGTCAACAGATTGGAAAATGACTGCCGCGGTTGCTGGGCGGCCCCTCTCAGGAGCGGGAACAGCTCGTGGACCAGCTCGGACTCGCACCGCTCTGTCGCGCCATTCGGGGTGGGAAAAGGACATGTTGAGTGTAGAAGGAAAAACTGCATAAACGTAAATGTTTGACGCTCCACACGGACTTCTTGGATCCGCGCTGGGCCCCCCTGGCGGCGCCTCTGGCGCCGCCCCTGGCGCGCTCCGCGCGCAGGGGACGGGTGTCCAGGCGCAGATCCAAGAAATCTGCTCGGAGCGCCAAATGTTTTTGTTTACGCTGTAGTTCTGTTTCAAAAGTTGAATCTGCCAGTGCAGAATCATAACTCGTCTTTCATTTGTACTGCAGGCTCTCCTTCGCCGCCAACTCCTGCCTCGTTGCCTCCGAGATCTGGAACGATCTCCCCGATGGCATCCACGCTTCGTAAGGACGACGTCGAGGGTGGATAGGAAAGTGACCTATACACAATTGCCTGAGCTTCGGCCTTCAGATCGGGCTTGGTGGTCGAAATGAACCTGCCCTTTATGCTGAGACCTGCGGCCTTGGCCATCTCGTCGCCGAACACCAACATTTCAGACTTGTCTACCCTGAGCCTCTTCTTCTTCTCCGCCGCATCCGCATAATGCTTCCGCCCGTTGATGAGTTGGAAGATCGGTACATTCAGCCGGCGAAACTCGTCAAAGAGCACTCGGTCTTGCGGTGGTACACTGAAGGAGGAACTCCCAGGCTTCACAACCCAAACGACGGCATTCAGAGACTGCCGGGTTGCTTCGATGACTGCATCATGCTTCTCCACATTACCAGTGGGGTCTGGAAAGGCAGGAGTATCCACAAGGCTGAGATTGACCATATATTCCTTGCCGTCGTTTCCTATGAGATCTCTGGAGAAACGCTTGCTGACGACGTCTTTAGTACAACTAGCCTTGCCGCCAGTACAGACGTGAAAAGCCTTCTTCTCATCGGCCATTGCGTTTAGAGCCGTTGATTTCCCATGGCCGGAGTACCCCATGATCAGAATTGATGCATCGCGATACTGGACTGGTGCGTACTGGCTCGCCACCAGCTTATGTAAACACACAAAACAAAGCGCGGCGCATGCCCTCATAACGCGGGCTCGGATCCAAGAAGGTGGAACACCGTGCGAGAGTGTCAGAAACGTAACATCCGCGCCTGAGCCAAAGCGTTTACGGACTGCTTGTGAAGACCTGTATGTTCTCTCGGCCCTTAACGCAAGGCTCGGCGGTACGCTCGGTCGACGCACTGAAGCGAAACGGAACAGAGATAGGCCCCAGGGAGGAGGGAGGAGAAAGATGGTTGAGCACCCCTGGGGGCCAGAGAGCCCCAAGCAGTAGGCTCAGGCACGCGCTTTCCAGGGCACACGAACGGAGCCAAAGTATTGCTATCCGCCACCGTGCTGCCAGGCACGAAGCAGAAAGTTCGCAGGTCCCGCCGCTTTGTTGTTGTTGTTTTGTTTGTGTGTGTTCTCTCTCTCTCTCTATGTTGAATACCGTCCGCCGCTTGCCGGGGAGGAGAAGGCGTGTGAGATGGTTGGTTGTATCCCTCTCCCTTTTCCCCTCCCGAGGGGTCACAACTCCCGTCTGACGAAAAAACTCCCCGGTGAGATCCTTCGACGAGCTCCTCAACGCACCTGCCGCCAGGCCCTCAGGGCCTCCAGGTCCACCCTCCGAAACCTCCAAGGTGCTCAAGATGCCATCCAAGGCTGATCCAGAGGGCTCCAACGCACCCGAGAGGCCTCAGGGAAAAAAGCGGCCCCAAGAGATTCGAAACAAGGAAAACCCTCTAAACACTATCAAACACCCGAGGCGGTTCCTCCTGTGCTTTCCTATCTCGCCTCGTCGCGTCCAAACGCCCACCTCCGAGAAGGCCCGGGAGCCCTCCAGAAGGCCCCCAGCCCCCAGACAGCCCAAGCGTGCCCCCAAGACAACCCCCCCAAACAGCAACCACAAATAGCAGCGAGGGGCGCCCAGCTGGTATTCGAGACGGCCGAAAAACTGCCCCAAGACGACCCAAGACGGACCTCAAACGGCCCCGTGCACTCCACCACGCGGCCCCGGCTCCTCCATGACGAAACCGGGACCCCCGAAAGGACGCCGAGATGGCCGCCAGTGGCCCCCAACAAGAACTCCAAGAGAGCCCTGGAGGGCCCCAAAAACATCCTCGAAGGCCCCGCGAGCGGCACAAGACAAGCCCCAAATGTTCGGTCAAAAACCTCTCCTGCGCGCCCCGGCGAAACCCCGAACTCTCACTGAGCAGGATACTTGCGTACCCACTTTGCGGGACCAATGATTCCTCTATCATGCCATTGAGAACATCGCAAAAGAATAACGAGGCTGGCCCGTGCTCTTACCGCCTTGATTCCCCATTACAACGACTACGGCGGTCCTCCTCCTTCCTCCTCCCCCTCCTCCTCCTCCTCCTCCTCCTCCTCCTCCTCGTTCTCCTCCTCGTTCTCCCAATCTGCCTCCTTCTCTTTCTCCTAATATCCCTGCCTCTTGGAAGCCTCAAGCGGGACCCTATACATCACAACATACTCGAAAGAAGGTCCCCAGCTAGTCCGAACAGAGGACCCAGCACTGGGCAAAGTGTCAAGGCCTTCCCAGCATCCTGAGCACTCTCCACCTCTTCCTTGACTCCCTGCCGCAACATGGGCATCACATCGTGATTTGTCGCCCGCGTACGCTCGACCAAACTCGGGCAAAACGTGCAGCCAAAATCACTCTCGCGTCTTCCGTTCGGGGCCCTGCGAATGGCGTAAACCTCTCTTGAGTCCATCCGCGGTCCAGGCTGAAAGGCGCGTGGAACTTAGCTTCGAAACTTCCTCTCAAGGCATTGCCCCGTTGCCCCACAGGAAGGTCCGCCGTTCTGCCGCCTGGCTGCAGTTCATCTCACGTTGTTCCTTCCACTTGGGCCCCCGTGTTGGCTCCCAGATCGGCTTGTTGAGCCTGGCAGCGCGCCTGATCGGACCAACCTGTCCAACAGAAATGCTTCTCTGGGCAGGGTCGGCCTGGGGCCTCCTCTACAATCTGTTGTTGGCTACTGCGCGGCCTTTCTCAAACAGTCCCCACACAGTGCTTGCACTTAGTGAAGGGGGCCTGGGACACACAAACAACTAGACACAAGCAACAGGATTCCCCACAGATTCCTATAGTTTCTGGGCTTTCGTCTCCCCCCCCACTTCCCATATGTTCCCATATGTTGTGGGGAATTTCCCCAGGCAGTACGGGAAAGATTTCCCCAGAGTTTCCCATCGTTTCTGCTCCCATAGTTTCAGTTCCCATGTTGGGAATCTGGGAGATACTGTCTGCTCCCATATTTTTCCCAGACTGATTGTGTCTGTGTGTTCTTCCCCCCCTGACTCGGGTGCCCTTGCTTGGCCTCCAACGTCGCTGGACGGGTCCGCCCGTGCTTCTCGCCTCCTGGGCGCCCGTGGGCGCCTCGTCGGCGCCCCGTGCCCTGGCTGGGTGCGCCGACGCTTCGCCTCCTGGGCGCCCGGTGGCGCATCTCCTCCTCCTCCTCCTCCTCCTCCTCCTCCTCCTCCAGATCCTCCGCCTCTTCCTCCTCCTCCTCCTCCTGCTCCTCCTCCAGATCCTCCTCCGCCTCCGCCTCCTCCCTCCTCCTCCTCCTCCTCCTCCTCCTCCTCCTCCTCCTCCTCCTCCTCCTCCTCCTCCACTGCTCCTCCTGACTCATCTCCTCCTCCTCCTCCTCCTCCTCCTCCTCCTCCTCCTCCTCCTCCTCCTCCTGCTCCTTCTCCTGCTCCTCATCCTCCTCCTGCTCCTCCTCCTCTGGGTCCGCCGACGCCTCGCCCGGCTGGCGCCCGTGAGCGTCTCGAAGGCTCCCCGTGCGCTGGCCGGGTCCGCCGAAGTTTCGCCTGGCCTGCGCCCGTGGGCGCCCATGGGGTCCGCTGTACCTTGCACCAGACAGCTTGCACCCGAGAGCTTGCCGAACAGTCATGACAAACGAGCAACACACACACCCATACCCATGGGGGGGGTCGTTGAGAGGAGGACTGGCTATGGGTATGGGTGCGGGTTGTCGGACCCTGGGGAACGCTCCCGTTCGAGCGGGGACCCCCATCCGACAACACGCACCCATAGCCCTCTCCGACCCCCCTATGGGTATGGGTGTGTGTTGTTGGTTCGTCAAGTCAAGCTGGAACCATCCACACGATTTCAACGAGACGAGTAGTATGTGCCAGCCGAGACGGTCGCCCGTGATCTTTGCAACGCACACACTTGGCAAGAGAGCCGTCGGGGGCTGCGTCAAGCATCGTGCAGGTGGTGCTGGCGGCCTCCATGGCAAATTTGTGCACGCGTGCTCGGATTATTTAGCTCGGCCGTTTACCCGCTAGTTGTCGAGACCGCCATCATGAATTCAGGACCTCTCCAGTGAAATGGTGGTGATAAACCTGGATTACGTACCCAATGCCCGTGGCACCATTTACACCACTAGCGCATCTAGATTCTAGATCTGTACGCATGACAACACACACACACACACTGGGAAGAAATACCACTCATGCTTGCGTACGGAATTTCCTTGGCGATACAGTCTACAGCAAAATCACATCGGTATGCAGCGTTGTCTGGTAGAGGCACACAGCTTGCTTTCTTGACCACACGTGTGCTGCAAAGGTATGCGCATGGTGCTGGCCTTTGCCTGCGCTGTCTTGCCGTTTTTGCTGATGAATGCGCTCTACATGGCAATACGTGAGCTGGTGCTCAAGGCAGGCGTTTCCCCGCAGTCGCCCCGGCATCTTCTCTGGCAAGCTGGCATCCCAGAGGCCTCTCTCCCCCTTCATGGCACAACGTCTTCAGGAGCTCCCTTCCCCATACATGCAAGATGCGGATGATCATGTCAACGCGATGGTTGGGGAGGCGAATTGGCTTGGGTGGTTCAAGTGTCCAGGGGCTTCGGGAATTACGGTTACGTCCAGGGGACCACGCCCTGGGACGCCATTCGGCGATGCCATTGTCCTTTGCACCATTGCGGAGGTCACTAACAATGTTGTCAAAGAATTCTCAGATCTTGGTCTCAATGTATCGTTGACCCCCGTGTGACAACAACCCGTTTGAAGCAGACGATGCTGGGCAAGACGCCGACCTTCCAGGTATGGTATCTGCTGGCGGTTCTCCGCTTGCAATGCGGGTGCCTCCAAATGCGACCAAGGACAATCTAGAAGACTCCTGCCGAATAGAGATATACTCGTATGCTGTCGCCAGAACGGCTCCGAACCTCAAGGCAGGCAACACCGAGTTGTTGTTACATGTTAATAGTCTGGGGTGCGCCAAATCGAAGGCACATAATGCGCAACCTGGCAAAACGTCTGCCCAGCAGATCATTGCTGTGCGGGTTTGATCATGTTAACATAGTTAGATCGGCTGTGCAATTAGGCGTGGTGATTACTGACAGGTCGTGATTGGGTCTGGAGCTTGTCCATGGTGAAGCTCATTCTACTGAGCAGGTTCTAAGGGTGGAAGGCTCAGGGAGAAATCCCCATTGGCTCTTGCACATTGAGAATCAATCCGTCGTGTGACTCACCGTCTGCAGATCCAAGCCTCGAGCATCAATCAAAACGGCATTTCAGATTTCACCCTTTGCCTTCCACCCAAAGAGAATGCTCGGTTCTAGAAGTCAGTTATCGTGTTTGAGCAAGGGCTTGAAGAAGGCCACCAAGGATTCCATTATCCCAAACCTCATTCGCACTGACTTACTTGTACTGAATTCGGCCATGTATGGTGCAGGCGCATGGCAGAATTGGTTCGGCAATGACTTGGCGCGAGTACGCTTGCAATACGTAAGACGATATCGTCGTGTCCTCTGCCCCCCCCGCTGAGAAGCAGGAGCAAAAGGGCCGCGAGACGACGATGTCATGGTTGTAGCGCTTAGACGTACTGTTGCTGCTATGCTTCAGGCAGGCAGGGTAAGACTCTTCACACAAGTACTTGCAGCGGCTCTACGACCGCTACTGGCGCTACTGCATGCTGGGTATAAACAAGCTCGCGACAGGGCTCAACACAGTTTCTGGATGCATCACATTCTGAAGGATGATGCGTGGCTGCGGTTTTGCCACTGCCCCTCCCGTCGTCGGATCCAGGTGCCTGGATCACTAAGGTCGGGGATCTTGGTTGAGGGCCGTGCAGGAGGCTACTAAGGCTTCGCTGGACAAGGCTCGTCGTGACCTCGGAGC